CTGTGACTGCTGGATATGGGCACCAGTGACCCACGCAACCCTGAAAAAGGAAGAAGCGTGTACAGAAAAAGGATGGATGGATAAATGAGAATCAAAATTTAATGCCATATTTTGATTTTAATTTAGTGATAAAGCTAGTAAACTCATTAAATAATAAATAAATAAATATAGATAAGTAAGTAAGTAAATAAAAACTTTAATTCCACAATAAATTCAAATGCAGCAGTGACAGTATGCCCAAAGCAAACAGTGCCTTAAATATGTTATAATAAGGATACGGAGGGAATCTGGCATCCCCGAATCAAGACAATCCCTTATTTCAGCAAACTCACTCCGAAGGCCAGGCTGTTGAAATAAATCTTCCTGTAAATAAAAAATGACAAATGTTGACTCTTCGTTTCCCTGAGGAGACCCGGCAAAATCAACACTGCAATGCACTTAAACTTATTTATTACAAAGTAAAAAATAATCTTCGCATTTGTGTATTTCTGAATTGTGGTCATTTTAAATTTCATATTTTGCAACCTCACTTGGACACACAACCAATGCTCTGGAAATGACCATGTGGCGATTTGAAGTCCACTGTATGAATTGTGTTTTTGTTTAGAGAACCTGCTGTGTATTTGTGATACTAGTACATAAGGAAGCATGGCAGAAAACAAAAGGTATAGACAAAATCATTTACTTTGATGCTCATAGCATCCACATTGGACTGCATTTCACCCATTTTACAGTCGTTACAGCAGTTTGTACCCAAAATTCGACCAGTTCCTTATGTCTACTATTCGGATCCAAGGTATATTATAAAACTAGGATGGGCTGTGAAAAATACTGGCAATATTTTTACAAACAAACCCTGCAAGAATGTCAACAATTCTTCTATCAAAAAAGGAGTGCAGTGATTTTATTACAGAACCATCAAAGAGGCATCACTCTTGAATCTCCTCACCTGTTTGACTGCATTGCGGAATAAATGATCCACCATCATCCAAAGCTCTTTAGGAATGTCGAGAGGCTTTTCAGCGGTTGCCCCATTCTCATTAATGGACTTCTCAGCCTGATGTTGAAGACAAACACAATGCAAAAACAAAGAGGCTTAATGCAAACGGAGTACTTTAACACACTCAAAAGGTAAACTTCAGTAATATCTGAGACAGGAATGTATGAAGAGGTAAAATAAAACATCACTAACCAGTTCAAGAAGGGTCTCTTGTGGCACGTCTTGAATAGGTTCCCTCATGTGGCACAAGGAATAAAGAGAGGTACCAAAACAGCTTGGCAGATAGTTCCCAGTTACAGAAATAAAATAGTCTTTGCCTCGCTCTAGATGGAGCACCAGGATGTCTTCAATTATCTGCTTGCCACAGTTAAGATCCGGTGCCGTCAAACGGTTTACAAAAACCTCAAGATCAATGTCCACAGAACCACCTGGATATCAAGACACACAAATTTACATGGATAGGTGGTTAGGAGTCTGACTCAACTATCTGATGCCAAAGCACTACATGAATATGTAGCTGAAGTTACTGTGAGAATAGTTTTGATTTTAGAAGAAAAAGAACCAAAACCATAAAAAAAATCCAACGAAAAGCAGGACACAGGTTTCATGAAATCTTTGACTCCTTGATCAACCTAACTACTCAGATTTCTCACCCTGAGCAATGAAGCCTTTAGGAGGGTTGGCAGTGAGCCACGGCTTGGAGTATGTGGACTCATTGGGCTTCTGGATAAACTCAAACTGACACGGGACCTGCCCGTCATTGAAGAGGCTCAGTGTCTCTGCTCGGTGTTGCATATATTTCACGTCCTTGAAGTGGAACTGAAAGAGGTAAGATGAAAAAGGTGTTCTCTATGATCCAACATTTTATATCGATCTATATTCTTAAATATTTGCATTAGGCTTAAAGCTCAGAACACGTCATTGTTAGAGGTGGTTTACACAAAGTATACTGAACGATGAGGAGAAATTTTTCATAGGAGGTAAATCAACACGATTACGTTTCCTGTTACACTTTATTACAGAATAGGAAACTTTACCTCTCGTTTTGACAAGGTTACAGATGGAATGCATTCATTCTCCATTTTATCTATATTGCGTACAATCTCCTCAAAGGTCTTTTTATACGCTTCATTATTTATTCTCTTGATCTGTAGCAACAGAAAAGGAGTAAGAGGCAAATTATTTCAAATCTGTTAGTGTCTGGAGAACTTTAAAAATATTGTACTTGAATTTATTACTGCCTTAAAAATGGTATATGACATAAACAGAGAAGACAAAGTATGACCTTAATGTATTTTTCACCAACATACATGCATTGTTTTTTTTTTTTTTAGGAAAAACAGAGAAAATGTTTATTTTTCCTATAAGAATTCCAACAGAAACAAACTAAAACTAAAACAAGTTAAAAACTAAAGGCTTTACCCCAATGATGAGCAAGGAACTGACAGGTTTGTGGTCACTGGTTTTCAGAACCATATGACTCTTGTAATGTTGCTGCTTTATGTTCTTCCCTTTCCACAGGATGCGATCACACCAAGCAGGGACACGACACTTCTCACTAAATGTGGAGAAATAAAATAAAATCATTATCTATMCATCTTTTAGTGCAAATAGAGAATTTCACAAAGCTAAAATTGCTTTGCTTTACTGCAGTGTTTGAACTTAAATACAAACATCTTGTGGCTGCATTGTTCTTTGAATAATCAGTGAATTTGTGTTGAATGCTTTGATAAATAAAGAAAAACCTGAATATATACAAAAAGCTATTTCAAATTGAGGACATATAATGAAATGCTTCCAGAGAGAAACATGTCGGGATTAAATCAATTTGTTTTCTCTGCTGCAAACAAAAAAGTGAACCCTTGTTTTATTTTTAGTAATTACTTAAAACATATCAGATAAATTTTAACATGAATATGACACGTTTCTATTAGCAGTCAGGATTACCTCGTATCCCAATGATCAGAGCCAGTATCGTATTTATAGGTGGGCTGGAAATTAATCTCTCCCTCCTCAAAGCCTTCAAACACAGCCTCTTCACTGATCTGCCGTTTGAGCTGAGGATCACACGCAGCTGATAAATAACAGTCATGAACTCATAATGAGAACTAATCAAACCTAATAAAAACTAAACCCACCTGATCGTAAGTGTGCAGCATCTTAAAGTCGTTCTTGCTGATTAGTTCTTTCACACCATCAACGTCCAGGTCACTGATTCTGTAGTTGAGGTCCCCAACCCATAAAACCACACTGATCAAGAAAGCAGACACAAACACATAAACAGAACTGGGTTAAATAATGTCTCTGATGAATATTAAATGTGAATATTTGCTCACATTAAGCTTTAGCATTTAACAATTCAAACCAGAACATAAATCTGAACACGAGTGGATTTCTAAAAGCTGTATCTTTTTTTAAATTAAAGAACCATCGTATGACTATTTCTCARTCCAGCAGGCTGCTTATATTCTATTTGATGCAGCAACATCATACATTTATCCTCAAACTTTTAGAAGAATTTGAATCATGATGTAACTGAGGTGGACAATGCCTCAGATATGTTTACAGGGTTCCTGCAGTTTAAGGCAAGTTAAATTTAAGACCTTTTAAGACTTTTTAATGCCAAGTGAAATTAAACTTAAGACCAATTTCATAATAAACACAAATGACAATAATAAAAAACCTAGCAGAAACTCATAAACCAAAGTATTTATTGTTTAAGTAATAAAATATTGCTGATAGACCAACTGTTTTTTTTCCCATATTTAACTATAGCAGAAACATTCTTAGCAGTCAGTTTTAAACTTAATTTAATGTCTGGAAATCCTCTAACGACCCAGATTTTAGAGTTTTAGGACCCACAGTGGGGTCTTAACCCCAATTTCCTGTAGATGAAACCTTAGAGTGCCTGTGACACCAATTTTTTTAAGAAAAGTGAATGCATTTTTGGAAAGACAACATTGTTAACATATTACAAAACAAATTTCACATTGCTCAGATGGAGAGTTGTTGAGATATTTGCATGTGAAATAACAGGAAGTGATGTCAAAGGGGAATGTCTGAATATAAATATTAAAAAAATAAATGTTAATTATTTTAATATTTTAGGTGAATTCCAATCATCCTTTTTACAATGTTTAACATTTTTAAGACTTCTGAAAGATTGATTTAAGACATTTTAAGGCTAATTAACGCCTTATTTTTGGATTGATGAATTCAATGCCTTTTAAGACTTTTTAAGGATCTGCAGGAACCCTGGCTTAACATTTTGTGACTATGTGACATTAAAATGTATATTTTGGAGTGGTTAAAAACAAATGGCCATGATTAKGTTTTAGCCATCTGCCTCTAATTCACTGGTTCTTCAGTTTCGCTCATAACAGTTTCACTCTGGCTCCCTGTCAAATTCAGAATATAACTTAAAATCTTACTTCTAACATACAAAGCTCTCAATAACCGAGCTTCATCATATATTAAACATCTTATTGTTCCATATTTTCCTAACAGAGCCCTTCTATGGAGGTAAATTTGTGTTTTTATTATTCAATCAAACAAAAAGCATCTTCAATCAAAAAAATAATTTCAATCAAAAATAGTTTTTTCAACCAAACAAAAAATAAATTC